GAACTGAACCCTTTATTTCGCTCACTGGGGTAGACTGTTCTAATTCCACGTGCCATGTTTGATGGATGTCAGTTATCAGTTATCTCCTGTTAATTTCCCTCTGAAAGTTCTCCACTGCCTTAACCGGGTATTAAACTCACACTCTTTGGGTCCTGAGCGTACAACGGCCGAAACGTTGTGATAGATATGGCGAAAAAGATGAGGACAATAGTCCGAACAATGTAAATAATGTACATAATACCTCATCTCAGAAATATAGACAGATACTGAAGGGTGATAAATATGTCGACAAAGATGAGGACAATAGTCCGAATAAGGTAAATAATGTACATAATACCTCATCTCAGAAATATAGACAGATACTAAAGGGTGATAAATATGGCGACAAAGATGAGCACAATAGTCCGAATAATGTAAATAGTGTACATAATACCTCATCTCAGAAATATAGACAGATACTGAAGGGTGATAAATATGTCGACAAAGATGAGGACAATAGTCCGAATAAGGTAAATAATGTACATAATACCTCATCTCAGAAATATAGACAGATACTAAAGGGTGATAAATATGGCGACAAAGATGAGGACAATAGTCCGAATAATGTAAATAATGTACATAATACCTCATCTCAGAAATATAGACAGACTATAAAAATAATATTTTCACTTTAAAACAGTTTAAAAGTGACAAAGACGCGCTGAGTCAAATTTATCAGTCGTTAGTTTAATAACTCTTTTTACTTTCCATTAATGTCTTTAAAGTTAACAATTGATGAATGCGATATTTAACAGTCCCCCCCACGAGGAATGTATGTGGCACAAGGCCGAGTTTAACGTGGGTTTCTCTATGATATCTAGACTCTGAATTTAAGCGCAGTACTAGATTTGGAGGTGGCAGTGTGAAGTAATGACTATCCATTACTTCACACTGCCACCTCCAAATCTATATGGCTCGGATTGAGGAATCGGGGAGCCGAGTTCGAATTCCAATCGAATCCATTACATTCACTTACATGCGAATATCCTTTGGAAAGGTGTGAATCCTCTTATTCTCCCCTTCACGTCCACCAGCTATGGGTAAATAGCAGGACAGACCGCGTTCTATAGCCTTGGATGGCAACTTGTCTACTGCAGAAAGAAATAACACCCTACTGCGGTAAAAAAAAAGAAAAAGATCTGCATCGTCGTGTATCACGCATGACACATAACTGACTGAATAGATTGTGAGCAAGATCTACTCTTTTCCAGTCAAAATCGTGAGATGCAACCGTAATTTCTATCCTAATGGTTTCTTCTGTCGTACTTCTCGCTTGATAAAACTCTCTTCCGGTATCTTGCATTCCGATCACGTTTCATCTACAAAGAATTAAATGCAATGTCAATCGTTATCACCGGTATTCTTAATTTTTATTTTTATTTTTATTTTTCTTCATCCTTAAAAATGTTTTATTTTTTTATATTCTTTCACTCTCAGTATTCCCCTGTGTGTTAGCGACCTTGTTGCTTTGCTTGTGGTGTAATGTTTAAAAAAGAAAAAAAACATACTAGTTCTTGACTGTAATTACACCCTTCATGTCGATATGGTCATTCCATTTTTGTTCTTCCGCCATCTTGGCACACCCGCGCGCGTCAGGTTGTGACAAGAAAGTAGCTTGGTCGAAAATTATAACTATATACAGAGATATACCTTCACCTGCTGCTCCATACTTGTAGCCTTGTGCCAGACTAATCTCTGCCGAGAGATAACATCTCTTTATAGCGATTCGATTGAGCAGTGGTATAACTGAATTACTTTCTGACCAAAGGGCTTCGACGTTGAATAAAAATGAAACCGAAATTGCAAAGACGATTTCAGCCAATCCTCATATATATCGATGTTCCGTAGAAATAAACATTAAAGATATTTCCATTTTAATTACTACCGAAGTTAAGCAACATTAAACCTGGTCAGTACCCAGATGGGTGACCGCTTGGAAATTCGTGCGGTGGTGTAATGGATACTAGCTCGTGATTCTTAATGGAGAATTCCCGTTGGATCCGTTATATTCACTCACGCGCAAGTACCCCTCCCATCTATGGGTTAATTAGTAAGACTTGTATCATTAAACCATTATTATCCCCAAAAAATCTTACACTCTAAAATTATTTTCTGGCGTTAAATAACCTGCAAAGTGTTGATAAGCCGTAAAAAACGAATCAATCAATGAATAAAAAAAAGATTTAATCGCTTACTTTCAAATACATGTTCCTCACTAGGTGCACCACTATTTTATATATCTTTAGGCGGGGCTTAGAATATTTAATCTGTAGAGACATAAGAATCAACCCCACAAAAACGTCTACCTAATATGTAAATACTTATAGACTCAAATATGAGGGACAAATATTTATCAATTTCGAACGAATTAAAAGCATATAGAGGCAAATATAAATGACCAATATAGACCTCACCCCGAATAAAGTAAATATTTAGAGATTTGATTATAAACAACGAATATTTACCTATGCCCGGACAAAGTAAATGCTCAGAGTCTCAAGTAGAAACAACTGATATTTGCCTATCCACGAACCAATTAAATGCTTACAGACTCAAACATAAAACCCAATACATCAACCAAAACCAAGTTACTAATTAGAGACACAAATACAAATAACCAATCTTTACCTATCCCCAAACCAAATGAATGCCCCGACTCGAATATAAACAACAATATTAATCTATCTCCAAAGCAAAATGATCAGAGGCTCAAATATAAACAACCAATATTTATCTATCTCCAAACAAAGTAAAATGATCAGAGGCTCAAATATAAACAACAATATTTATCTATCTCCAAACAAATTAAAATGATCAGAGGCTCAAATATAAACAATACTATTTATCTATCTCCAAACAAAGTAAAATGATCATAGGCTCAAATATAAACAACAATATTTATCTATCTCCAAACAAATTAAAATGATCAGAGGCTCAAATATAAACAACAATATTTATCTATCTCCAAAAAAATAAAATGATCAGAGGCTCAAATATGAACAACCAATATTTATCTACCCCCGAACAAAATAAATCCTCAGACTCAAATACAAACAACCAATATTTACCTGTCCCCGAACAAAGTAAATGACCAGTGATCAAATACAAAAAACATTTATCTATCCACCAACCAATTAAATGCTTACAGACTCAAATATAAACGCCTAATATATAACTCACCCTGAACCAAGTAACTACTTAGAGACTCAAATACAATCAATATTTATCTATTCTCGACAAAGTAAATACTTGTAGACGCAATTATAAACAATCTATATTTACTTATCCCTGAACAAAGTAAATACTTAGCGATTCAAATATAAACAACCTATATTTACTTATACACGAACATAATACATATTTATATAATAATATATAATAATAATGATGATGATAATCATAATAAATAAACCAATAAAGTCTGACATGTAAAAATAATAATCAAGATACACAAACTATTCTTGCTTTCTTCCAGGATAAGTCTATTTATTAGGCACCTGGTACAAAGTAGTGTTTTAGTGAGTTTATTTCTGCAGGTCAAATCTCTGGGTTAATCTGAGGAAAACCAGTCAACTGAAAACGCGTCCCACACACTAATTCCCTGGGGGTGCAATGAAGTTCTTCTTTATGAGGTTCACCTCTCATCACGCCTTGTGTCAGAAAGAACAAAGCTTGGTTATCTGGTCATACAAAAATGCTACTTAAAGCAGCCGACGCCATTTACGTGTTTACTTGGTAAAGTAATATACACATAAGAAAACACTGAGAGATAGATACGAAAAAAAAATGATGGTCAAATATTATGTAATTTAACTTTTGAAATCAAAATCTTTTTTATATTGATAAAAGTTAACTAAACTCTTTTCTCTTTTACTAACTCTACCCCCGATGAACTTTGAAAGCACTGACCTCTACGCTACCAGTCAAATTCAAACGACAGTTTTTACGCCTAATTAGCTACTTTTTACGCGTATTAATTTCGGATTCTAAAAGATATCATACTGGTTGACAGTGCTTTTTGTGGGGATCAAATTTCAATTAGACCTACATTGTAAACTCGATTTGAAATCTGTCGGGGATAGTTAAGAGATTAAAAATTACTGGCCTATTCGAGATGATTGAACGATTTGAACTTAGCAATTTAGTGAAGCTTAAATTAAAGGTGTAAGAAAAAAAAATGACCTTTACGGATATTTACTCAACTTACGTTTGTCTGTCACAAGGCTACCATTGTTGAGCACTGATGGAGGCTCAGAGCCGCTATCAAGTGATAATTATCCACTAGAATAGCACGTTGGCCGCAACCCTATAACGAGGACCCCCTTAGAACTATTTACTAAAATTATCTTTGTCTGGCACAAGGCTACCATTGTTGAGCACTAAGTGAGGCTCATAGCCGCTATCAAGTGATAATTATCCACTAGAATAGCACCTTGGCCACAAACCTATAACGAGGAGCCCCTTACAACTATTTACTAAAATTATCTTAGTCTGGCACAAGGCTACAATTGTAGAGCACTAATTGAGAATCGTACCTGCTATCAAGTGATAATTAAGTGCGGTACTAGCACGCTAACTATTTCCCCGCTGTAAGAAAGCCTTTCTGCTTATTTACAAAACATAGTTTTGACAAGTGCCAGGCACCCAGTGCGGATCGAACTCGCTATGTAAGAATTTTTCCTACGGTGCCTCTCCTCCCTACATTATTTCCTCGACTTCAGTCGAGATTATAGAGCCCACAGCCTCACACAGCCGTTAATTGTGAACATAAAATTGGCCTTCTCCTAGACTGGTAGCTAACCATGGCTAGAGACTCAAGTTTGCTCTGCTGTTTAACCCATAGCTGGGAAGCGGCGAGAAAAGATGTATTCATATATTCCCCGAAGGTTTTAGCGCGAGTGTGAATCAAACAAATTCGACCTACACTGAGCTGTTATTTATTAAACCCTCGTATATTGAAGATTCCAGCACCTGGTATTCTCAAGCGGTCACCTATCTAGGTACTGACCAGGCTCGGCGTTGCTTAACTTCGGTCATCGTACGAGAAAGTACTGAGCTGCTACGCAACATCTGTCCTACTATACGGCCTCAAAGATGAAGAAGAGAGTCGAGGCAGCGGAGATGTGGTTCTACAGAAGGATGCTAAAGAGTATCATGGAGCGATGGTGTGAGCAACGATGAGGTCTTGGAGAGGATGCAAACAAGGTGGAAGCATATGCTTAACATAAGGAAGAGGCAGATGAAATTTCTGGGATACGTAATGAGAATGAAGGGCTTGGAGAATCTGATACTCACAGGTCGAATAGAGGGAAAGAGAGACAAGGGAAAGCAACACATGACATACCTGGCGGGTTTAAGCAAGTGGATGGCAGAAAGTGGTCTGAGGGAGTTGGTAGAGGCATGAAACGGATTGAGAGCTACAAGGGATAGAGGGACGTGGAGAGCCATGATCGCCTACGTCCTGAAAGGACACAGCACATAAAAAGAAAAGAAGCCCTCACGGAGAAAGAGCGGATTCATAAAACACGGTAACGAACCCAAGTGAAAATTCGACTTCAGTTATCTCCTGTTAAATCCCTCTCCAAGTTCTCCGCCGCCTTAACCAGGTATTGTCCTCAAGGACATATGGCACAGTGGATAAAGGCGTTAGTTAGATCCAGTGACAGGATCCAAAGAGTGTGAGTTCAATACTCGGTTAAGGCAGTGGAGAACTTGGAGATAACTGATAATCGACATTCATTAAACATGGTACGTGGAACTAGAACAGTCTACCCCAGTGAGCGAAATAAAGGGTTCAGTTCGACATTCCAACTACCTGAAGAAGGCCGGAGCGTACAACGGCCGAAACGTTGTAATAAATATGGCGACAAAGATGAGGACTATAGTCTGAATAATGTAAATAGTGTACATAATACCTCATCTCAGAAATATAGACAGATGCATACACTTGCGTTCAAAATATTTATTTGCAGCCATAAAATTGTTCAAATTATTTAGATTTCGCCATTAAAAAAACATAGATGAATTGATATGATGCTAAACAAATTCAACCAAGCAAATGACCAGCACGAAAGGACTCTTTAATGACATTAATCCATATAATATCCTACAATTTCTTAAAGAAATTAAACTGGATTCCAAAATATAAGTTCAACAAACCTATAGCATAAAATATACATATCACCGCCTCTAGTAATTGTGTCCACACAAACATGTATTTGCACAAAGGCTGAGTATCATCTACCATATAATCAACTGTGAAAGCAGAATAACATGTATCATAATTTATTGCTTCAAAGCTCCCAGCAAATTAAATTTCGACATTAAATGACCCATAAGGGGTTGATATATATATATATTAAGAAATGGACAAAGTCCGACAATTTATTTATTAAAGACATTTTTATGTTTAACGTTCTTTTTATAGATACAAGTATTTAAGTATTAAATAACATTTACCGGCCTGAATGTCCGAGAAATTTTCATAGAAAATATTCGTCCTTTGACAGGATTCGAACCTGCATCCTATACGGTACCGTCATTTACGCTGACGTGCCTTGACCGCTCGGCCACAAAGGATCGATCGGTTGGCAAGGTTTATTATAAACAGAGCATTTACTTAAATACTTGTATCTATAAAAAGAACGTTAAACATAAAAATGGCTTTAATAAATATATATATATATGTGTGTGTGTGTGTGTGTGTGTGTGAAAAACTGGCTGGTTACATTCAATGAATCCTAAATCCAAACTGGTTATATTCCATAACCTCCGATCAGACCGCGAATTACCGTCATGTCCCGATGAACGGATGTCCCCTTGAGAAGTTTCCGTGTCTTGAGAGAATATTGGGCCTCAAACTCACACCCGACCTCATGTGGAACTCTTATATATGGTCCATCGCTAAAGATGTGGGTAAAATGACCGGCTCCCTGTACGGCGCTCCAGTAAGTTCCTGACTCCTCATGCTATCCTCTACTGCTATAAGCGCCGGATCAGGCCCAAAATGGAGTACTGTTGTCATATTTGAGCAGGGACTGCAAAGTCCTCACTTTCCAGTCGTGATAGAGTTCAAAAGCATCTATCTCTGATTCATTGTTGGGAAAGAATTATTCCCCACCTTCCAACCTCTCTCTCACAGGTGGGATGTGGCGAGTGCTCTCACTACTCTATCGCTAATATCATGGAAAGTGCTCAGGCGAACTACATCCCTTGGTTCCGCCATGTCAAACCTTCACGGCCGCGACACGCCATGCCACTTACATAGTAGCAAACCACCGACATTTCCTCCGTATTCCATCGGCGAGAAGTAAATTCACTCAACCAGCTGCTTCGCGCGAACCACTGCCCTGTGGAACAGACTTCTAAGAGGATTTGCCTTCGATCACTACAACTCTAGCCTGTTCACGTTTAGATTTAACCGTTATTTTCCCCTTCTATCCGTATGAACTACCCTTAACG